AAACCCCCTCCAGGATTGGTCCCCTACTGGTTAGCATGGGGATGGCCATCATCCCAGCCTCTGTTACATCTTTCCTCACTGACTCCAGAAAGATTGCTACAAATATTATTAAAGACCTTTGATGCAGCTCTTCAAGAGGCACCTAAAGATCTCTGTCTCTTCCTTATGTTTTGAGAAATCTCCCCATCACTCTATCAAAATTTCTTTCTATTCCCCTTAAGGACACTAGCTCATTGACATTATTTTTCTCACCCGTATTATATAATTGCTGTAACTAACTTATGCATTCAGCAATGTAGGAAGAACAAGCTTCTTTATGCTGTTCCTGCTTTTAGCCAAGCAAATATCCCTGAAGCTGATATAATGTAATTGGGGTCAGGAGAGAGACAAACTTAGAGGACAATTCAAGTAACAGTTACTGAAGCACAGTTAAAAACACTATTAAAATGTCAAATAATTTTTGTTTCATATACGTATACTGGCTCCCTCGTGGACTCACTTCACCTTGTTACCTCCATCTTTTAGATAATCTTTACTCAGTGGAAGAAAGAAAATTTGGAAAATTACAAAAGGAAATTGTTTAAGGAAGAGACCAGAAGACTCAATTTGCGCAGAAAGATAGTCTTCCTTGAGACTCTAAGAAATGGAATAAGCATATGATATAGATATAGAATAGATATACTGATTTTCTTTCTGAAAGAATTCAACATTGGCAAATTTTACTCTGCTCCTTTCCTATTATCCTTCTATGGCCAATTGCAGATATGCATGCATAGAGGAGATAAGACAGGCGTTGGTTATAAGTGTCAGTATCAGCTTCATTGCTCCTACAATTTTTGAACCTCAGGTACGCACTTACCTCATGGAAAAAGAAAACCCCCTCCATCCATTGAGAACTATGGTGCTTTGTTCATCTCCCCCAACTGGTATATCTGTGAAACATTAGGGACTTTTGGACAAAAAAAATGTCCAAGTCTCAGATAAATGACTTTCCTCTCCAGGTCTGGGTTCCAATCCTCATATTTTCATGGTGGGTCCAGATGATGGAGGAATATGGCTGAAGTGCACAGGCAAAGGATGGTTTCCCCAGCCTGAAGTTCAGTGGAAAGATGCAAAGAAAGAGAGGATCCCATCTCTCTCTGAAGACCAGATGCAAGATGATGATGGGTTGTTTCAGATTGAGGCGTCTCTCATTGTGAGAGACAGCTCAAAGACAGAAGTGTCCTGTTCCATGAAGAACCCCTTCTTTGGACAAGAGCAAGTGGAAACCATTTTTATCCCAGGTCAGTGTGCTCTTTTGGGGAGCAATTCAAGTAACAGTTATTGAAGCACTGTTAAAAACATTAAAATGTAAGTAAGGGGGAAGTAAGGGGTGGGGGGGATACTAGGGACCTGGGATGGGATAGGCTTGCTTGGTGTATGTTTTTGATCAGGTTTTGGGCACCCTGTGTCAGAACCCTTCTTCCCTAGGACCTCTCCTTGGAAGGTAGCGTTCGCTGTGACTTCCGTGATAC